CACTCCTCACCATGTCCTGCCCACACTGGGTGCCCTCTGCCCTCTGCCCTCTGCTGCTGGAGTCCACACCTTACCATGTCCTGCCCACACTGGGTGCCCTCTGCTGCTGGCATGAACTTCGTTTCACATTTCCTTCCAATTCGATGGCACCACAAGGCCTTGCAGATGTCCTACAGGAGAAGAAGCCATTAGTCGCAGATGATCTGCGTGTCTGTGAGAAAATCCCAAATCTGTCAGCAAAGGGGGAGGGCGCGTCCCCTCAGTCACAGGGAGGAAAAGTAGTCAAGAAGGAGCCGGACAATCCGAACCCTGGCCTCCAGTCTCCTGAACTCCATCCAAGCAACTTTATTATTTGTATTTTTGCAGTCATGAAATTTTAAAATCATATTTTGTAAACCAGAGGGTAAGATAGGATTGATCTAGGCATTAAGGAAACCCATAAAAATGTAATTTTTAAAAAATCCAAATGACATTTTATCATGTATTCTCCATCCCAATTTCCACTAACTTCCTCACATAAGAAAATTAATTTCTATTATTTCTTTATTAATTCCTTTATGTTTGAAATCAGACTCTTGTACTGTTATTCAGGCTGTCTCCAAGCTCCACAGGGTCAAATGAACTTCCGGCCTCAGGTTCCTGAGTATCAAAGACCACAGGTACTTGATACTGTACCTACTCCTCAAGTTTTGAACTAACCATGATCAAGACACTGTTGGCGTGTCCACATGTCTGTTCACCTGTGTGCAGGCCTGCACCTGCCTACCCAGTCACTGATCCATCCATGCAGGGATCACAGAGGCACAAAGTTCCCACCATGTATGTACCTACTTCCGGAGTTCCTGGCTACACAAAGCAGCAGCTAGCGAAAGTAAAACTAAGAGGAAAAACAGAAATGTGAAGAAACATTGTTGGAGGTTTTAAACCCCTCTCTATTGAATTGCTGAAACAGATGGAAACATGGAGGACCGAAGGCATAGACAATATCATTGGACAAAAGCAAGGTATTTGTTGAACAGTAAGTATGGTCTGGACTCATAACCCAGCGTCTGTGGCTTGTTTAAGCAAACACCTTGTTTGTTGATCATGACAAGGCTCAGTTGTTTCATTTGGTTGCATGTAACTATTTTATCAATAATAAAATGGCAGCCTAGAGTTAGCTTGATATTGCTTGAGTCTTATAGATGGTGCTGGGATACTGTTGGTGGCATGGTGCACAGTCAGGACATTCATAACATAGAGACTGGAAGTACAGTCTGGAAAGTCTAATCTTTAACAAAAGCTTTAGTTTTATATGTCTTTCCCCTTCACAAATACAAGAGTAATGTAGAGAAAAAATTCTTGGTATTTCCCACAAAAGGGAAACTGGCCTTTAGCAGAACCCCAGCTGAGTTTAGATGATTATGCTGGATAGAGGAGAGGCAGGGGCATTACTAACACTTCTGAGGTGTTGAGGGCTTTCTGGAAGACTGCAGATATTTCTGTGTATTTTATTCTTGATCTCATTATAAACTAGAATAAAAGAAACTTCAAAACTAGTTACTTTCATGTGATTTATGAGTAGCTGTCCTTGTGGTTTTAAGTAGAGCAAATTCCTAAATCTGGACGCTCTCTGTCTAGCCAGAATGCGTATCTGTGCTCTGTGAAGGATTTATGCGGGAGATCACCAGGGAGACATCCCTAGGGCTACAGAGGCATCACCCTGTGTGAGGAACTGCTCTATAAAAATTGTACTTGGGAAATTCAATAGTCAGAAGCCTCACGATGTACTGCCGTAACCTTCCAGTAGACTGTGCTCATGTTGGGACAGGGTGGAGAGCATTGTTTCCCTAAGACTATCTGAAAAAAAATGTGGAGTATTAATTTGCCAACTTAAACCAACTCAAAGTTATTATTGTGCTCCCACATGATAAATCAGAAAGAAAGATCTGACCTAATAAGCCAAGTCAACTCCGAAACGAAAGCTGATACCCTCAGCAGTATCAACTGTGATGTGCTCTGCCAGGAAAGCATGTGTTTCCTGTTACATTGGGCCGGTCCCGGCATATAGGATTTGACATTTGGTAGGTGCCCAATAAATGCGGAATCTATCACTGTCAGTTACACTAAATAAAATGGTTTTATGAATCATAGTGGAGGAAGCATGTGACAGTAAGCACTTGCCTTTCTGAAGTCCAGCATGCAGAGCTTGGCTTTCTCTCCGAATTGCCACTTGCACTGTGTGTTCGCATCGTACAATTGTCCCGGCAGCTTCTCCGGGTATTTGTACTCTTTCACGGGCTTCGGCTGATCAGCAAGGCATATCGCTTGGGCAGTGCTAAAGCAAACAGGAGGCATTATCAAGGGACATACATCCTTCCTCATGCGATCTGATGACACATTTTGTTTAGAGAGACGCTTATGTTCTTTGCCACAAAATTAAAGACCAAATTATTTTATTTAAAGATTTAAAGCCAGAAGTCATATATTTTCCCTGAAATTACTCATAAAATATTTGACCTATCTAAGACAAATTGCTCTTCAATAGATATCTCAAACTTAGAATCAAGGAAAACGAAACTGAAAAATTGCGACCAGATGTTTAAAGCGAGAGGTTTCTAACACAGAAATGCTTACACACCCTTTGTGCCAGAAACAGCTGGACTACAGAAATTGCCGTAAAAATCAAACCATAATCAAACTACTTCAAATACAGCAACTCACTTCCTCCCCGTCTTCCTGTCTTCAGAAGGGACTAGATACGGCTTAACCTCACTGGTAGGCAGCTAGAGTCTGACCAATGATTCCTCTGCCCACAAACACAGTATCTATATGGGTTTGGATTTAAAGTATCCCCTCAAAAGGTTCATGTGTTGAAGTGTGATCCCCAACTAGTGGTCCTATGGGGAAGCGATTGGCTCCTGAGGCCACTGACTTCACCCATGGATGACCATGGATTAGCATGAGCTTCCCTGCTGAATGAGATACTGTGAAGTCAAGTGTAGCTGAAAAAAGGAAATAAAACCTTACCAATCCCACCTCTCCTCTTTCTCTGTCTTTCTGGCCATTGTGAAGTGAGCAATCTCTTTCAGCATACACTACATAACAAACATTGCCTCGTGCCTAAAGCTAGCAATTCATGGCTGAAAGCTCTGTAACCACGAGACCAAAACACCGTTCCACTCTTCAAAGTATTTCTCTCAGTTGATTCATCATAGTAACAAATTAAAATTAACACAATTTGTGCATTTAGGGTGAGTATTTAATAGTTTTATGCTTGCAAGTAGCAAAGAAGTCATACCTATACGTTCCACACGCCCACATCTCTCTAAACATCTTTCTTAGACCCAAATGCAATAATTATGACAGAATGAATCCCAGACTAGGAGAACTTTGTCTGTACTCTCCATGATGTTACTTCCAGACCCCAAACCTTCGAGCTCATCAGTCTGCAACGAAGGTGGTGTATAGTCCCAAAGTGTTCACTGTGGATTCCACCAAACCTTGTGGGGTAAAGTCTGGAGGCTCTCTTGTAGTCCCTTCAGTTATGAGATCAGCACTACCCAAAACCAAGTCTAGAGGAAGATATTAGAGGAAATTACAGACTAAAATCTGTTATGAGGAAAGTTGCAAAAGTCTTTTAAAAACATTAGTAAAGAGTTCAAAAATGCATAAAATAAATTATATTCTACAGCCAAGTAAGTTGAATCATAGGTTCAAAAATATAACATGTACCACAACCATGTGGGCTCAATCCTAATTCAAAATTCAAAAGTCAGTTGGGAGGGGCATGCTGGGGAAATAACTCAGTTTTAAGAGTACTGTCTACTTTTCCACAGGATCTGTGTTCACTTCCCATCACCCACATGGTGGCTCACAACTATCTGTAGTTCCAGTTCCAAGGGATCTTTTTTGGTCTCTGTGGGTAGTGGGTATTTATGTGTGTTGTTCCTCCGCATGCTGAGAATATGTGTTGCTTTTATTTGTTGATGAACAAAACCGCTTTGACCTATGGCAGGGCAAAATACAACTGGGTGGGAAAGACAAACTAAAGACAGAGAGAAAGAAGGCAGGGTGGAAAGAGAAGCCAGCAGCTGCTGGAAAGGCAAGAGGTGAGGTAACAAGCTGCCAGCCTCATGGTAAAATATAAACTATTAGAAACTAGGAGCTAGCCAGTAATAAGCTAAACAATCAGCTAAACATTTATAATTAATATCAAACTTCTGATTGATTATTTTATAATTAGTCAAGGGAACAGGCGGGGCACAGAAAAGCTTCTCCAGCTACAGCCATTCCTATGGTACGTATGCATACACGCAGGCAGAACACCCTTGTACATACAATAATAATTAAAAGTTTAAAAGCATTAAAAGCCATTTACCATAATCCACTTTGTCAGTATCACATGACATCAAGAGTTGCAAAAAAAACTTGTAGTAGAACCCAAGACCCATTCCTAGAAAACTAGGAGAAAGACAAGAACCTTTCAACTTGATAAAGAACATCTTCAAAAGCCAGAGTCATGATGAATCTTGTGAGAAGATGAAACTTTACTGTTAAGGTCAGACACAGAGTACATTGCGTTCTCATTGATCATTTACAGCACTGTACCAGAGGTCCTAGCTCAGCTGATGGTGAGAACAAGAGAAGGGGATGTCTGCAGATACGGAGCGAGGGAATGAGACTGTCTGTCTGTGCAGACGACGTGATTGTCTGTCTGTGCAGCTGACGTGACTGTCTGCGCACAAGATATAGGACCACTAGAAAACTAGCTGGAACTAATAAGTAGTTTTAGGAAAGCTACATCATGAACGGCTAGTCCACAAGATGGATTGCTGTATATAAACCAGCAAGGAGAAGTAGAGCTCATTAGAAATGACAAGCATGGTGTCATTTACACTGATACTCTAAAAATGAAGCAGGAGTATAAATCTAGACAAGTATGTATGATATCTTTAAGCAGATAGGCACTAACCCCTGATGAAAGAAACTGGAGAAGCGAATGAATGAGGAGACACCAATGTCCCAATAGATGTAGAAGAATCAATAAAGTAGAGATGGTGTCTGCTAGTTCTTCTTACCTTGATCAATTAATTACAATCAAAATACAAACAAGTTATTTTGTGGCTATGAAAGCTGGCTCTCAAATTTATAAGGAGAAAAAAAGAGATCTATAATAATCTACAGGAAATTTAATGATAAGAACAAAGATGAAGGGTGATACCTCCCAATATTAAGACTTCCTAGGCACTCACAATAATCAGAAAAAAAGTTATAGTGGCAAAATAACAGAGAACTCAGTCAATGGAACAAAACAGACCAGCACAGAGAGTCCCACGTAGATGTACTCAACTCATTCTTGACAAAGGAACAAAGACAAGAGAAGGGAGAATACCTTTTTTTTTTTTAAAATAAATGAAGCTTGAGTAACTAGATATTCACATACAAAATTATACACACACACACACACACACACACACACACACATTCTCATCATGATAGAGGGCTCACGTAGTCTCATTTCCAAATTTACAATAAACTCCTGGTGGTTAAATTCCTCTTGTTTTCACAAAAGGGTTGGGTATATTGGTGAATAAAACAGAGGAGAGGCTCTAGAATTATGTCAGCCTGAATGGCCACCTAACTTTTAAAACATTTCACGAACTTCAATGCAAAATAATTTTGACCTTTATATAAAACAGTCCAATGCTTCATTACTGATAGATGCTGTATGTTCATACAATAAAAACGAATGAATTCAATGTCTACATGTGGTAAATAGGATGAATCTCATACATTCATCTTATGATTCTCATAGCAAGTTAAAAAAAACAAAGAAGAACAAACCACAGGATTCTGTGCCTGTTCCTGGAGACTGGCCATTGTAGAGAGGCATTAGACAGAGAAGACTGAGGGGTCTAGATCAAGGCTCTGTAGCTTGACCTGAAAGAATTAACAGGATGTGACCACCATAGACAGCCACTGAGTTGAATGCTTCTTCCTGCCTGCCTCTGTGTGATACCACAACAGTAGTAATAGTGTGGAAACAATGGCTGAGGCCAGAGACAGCACGGGGGGTTTCAAAACCCTTCACCACTCTCATGACTGTGTTGCATAATGCAAAGAGCCTGATATTTTTTTCAGCTTAGTCACAGTCCCTCATTTTCCAAGGGGGAAAGTAGGGCCTCTCAGAAAACATTGTCTGCTCCCACAGATGCCTTTGAGAAGTGAGTTTAGAGAACTCAGCGCAGCGCTGCCTGCTCGCTCCGACCCCTTCCCTTCCCCTACATGGTGGTCCTTGTTTTCTCTCTAACGTCTTCAGCATGAAGGTCATCCCTGGCTAGGATTGCTCAAGGTGAGCACTTGACAGCATCTGGATACAGTCGAGAAGGAAACCATCCCAATGGCCTTTCAATGGGAATCCCATTTCCTCATCCACAGAGTGGTACTGAGGATGGCAGGAGAGGCCACTCCCCCTCACATCCTCCCTTCCTTCAGGAGGTCCCTTTCCAATGCATTATGCGCTAAACCCCTAGACTCACATTGGTGAAGGGTAGGCAGGGACATTGATCCATAGGGCAAGATTCCAAATGAAGAAAAAAATATAAAATAAAGATGAGTCTGTGTTGTGAAATGTAACATGACAGTCTAGAGTCTCCCCGGGTCACTGGCTCCAGCACACAGGCACGAGGAACTGAATGACAGGCTGTCGTTTCTCTGGGTCATGGACTTCACTAATGCAGACAGTGTGTATTAATGGTAAGTGACACATGACTTCACCGGGTGAATTTCTCCAAACAAGTATCTGTTCTTCTCGACTCCACCTAGAGTGGAGAAAAGCTGAGTTGGCCACCCCAGGCCCATCCATTTCCCAGATGCTAGGCTGCTGACGGAGGGCGGCAGTGGCAGCTTACTCATGGCTGGGAACACATCCCAAAGGCTACCTAATTGGTGGAGGATAGAACACTATTTTGACTATGTGGAAATCAGGAAGCTAGCAACCACAGCATCAGACAGACAGGCAGTCCTGGGTTCCTTAACACTGAAAATTCTAGGTCTCACATATGTGAGGCTGTCTGACTGGAAACTATGTTTTCAGTTTCAATGGCTCTCCACAGTGATTTAACAATGCGATGCTCTCTTGCAAAGCTTGATATTAAAAAAAGACAGTGCAGAATATTGCGTGTGTATTTGTAATTACAAAATCTACAAACTGGAAAAGACCCTGAAGAGAGTTTCATTACAAAAAGAACTGAAAAATATTTTATTGCTTACCCTAAAACCAAACCAGTATATTTCAGAATCTGATTTTACTCTTTCAGTATTGCTGAACAAAACTGGATTTTAATTCTATATAATCTATAATCTTAATAGTAATTCTGAGAATCACACTCTGATTTGAAGATTATATTGCACTTCTAATATCCTCAGATGATTCTTCTGTGATCGGACAATGGTTTCCTTGGCATGGGTCTTCTTCTCAGTTTTTTGACTTTTTCATGATACAAATTCTTACTACATACCCAAAATTCCATCTTCTAAACTTCTAAGTTGCCAGACTATAATTTAAAATTATAAAAATGTTGAGATATTTGTCTCACAGACATTGAGAAGAAAGAAAGTTTTGTAAAATTTGGAACAAGAACCAAGTAAATTATGGAAACACTTTTGAGTAAAGAAACTCACTTCTCCCCTGTTAACACAAGTCAGAACAGAATCATGTTAAAGAACAAACTCTTCCTCCTTACAGAAAGTTTCACTGACACTGGAAAGAGATGAATAATTGCAAGAAAGAGATAAAGACACTCTGACCGGCCCCCAGTACGGGAGGGGATCCCAGTGAGCTCTTGGTGAAGGGAAGGAGTCCAGATAAGAGGTCAAAGCTGTTATCACGTTGTTTAATGTGGCCCCAGCCAGAAAGGGTCAAGATTTGAGAATAAGCGGCTTTGGGTGCTCAGCTCTAAATGGGACATGAGCATCGTCTTCTCTAAGTACTAAGGAACACTGTGGAAGAGGATGCAGAAAGAACGTAAGAGACTGATATCCCAGCATGGAGTCTCTCTCAGCTGTCTCTGAGAACCCATGGGCACTTAAAGATCACTGTTGGAATGGGGAATAAACTTTCTCCAGTGGTGTAGCCACTGTTAACTCATCCATGTTCCAATAAGTGACTCCCACCTTTGCAAATAAAACCCTCCCCAGTGAAACTCAACGGGACACAAAATTAAAGCAACAAGAAAATAAAACAGAAACAGAAGGATGTGTAGGGCTGGGGTGGGGGTTGTTTAGTTGTAAACTGCTGGACACAGGAGACAAGGATCTGAATTCAGATCCCCACATCCTTCCCACAATAGAACTAATCAGTAAAGAGGTAAGCAGCAGGTGTCTGTAATCCCAGCCTTGTGGGGGTGGGGAGCAGGGGACCAGAAGGTTGGCAGGTCCCTGAAGCTCACTGGTGTTCCAACAGTCAAATCTGAATGTCAGGAAGAAACTTTGTCTCAAAAAAGTAAAGGTGGGAAGTGATTGAAGAATGATACTGATGTCAACCTTGGACCCTCACACCCATGTGTGGTCCCCACCCTGCACTTACACACACACACACACACACACATTCACACACATATATGAACACACACATGCATGTACACACACACTCATGCATGCACGCATGTGCACACACACACATATACACCAAAGAGAGAGTGACAGAGACAGACAGACAGAGACTAGGGGGACTTGTTCAGAAGAAGAAATTGTTTATTGTAAGTAGGAGGGGATGAGAGGAGCTAATGGCGGTGTCCATGATAAAAAAAAAAACATTTTATATGCATGCATGAAATTGTCAAATAAAATTTTAAAATAAAAGCCATAAATAAAAGTGTAAAGTAATCAAGAATATTGATATGAAAAAAGAAAAAGCCAACCCTCCCTCCCAAGTTCAGAGTGATCACAAAACCAGCTCGAGGGATCCATACCTTAAAAACTTGTGCAGGTACTGACGGCTGCAAGAGGACCAGGAGAAGACACCGTTGCGCCCTGCCAGTGTTGGGGACATTATGTTGCCCTCAGACTTCTTGCACATATTCCCTTCTCCGTCATGGACCATACCAAAGCTACAGAAGGCAGAAAATGGTTATTTCAAATCAGAGTCTGTAAGGGCAAGTGTAGTGTGTGAAAACTATCCCTCCTTAGCTCCTTCGGTATCAGCCAAACCATGGAGAATATGTGTGTTTTCATGGATCCTTTCAGAAGAATGAATGAGTTATCACACAGCTTCAAAGGGCAATGTATCAAATCCCAGAGGTCTCACAGATTTTAACAGGACTGTGAGAATTTTCAGAGATATTTTTTAGAAATACAGAAGTCTTACATGTATGTGTTTAGGGCTGACAACTTGAAATTTAATATCAGAGAGGCTTCCCTGGAGTATACTGAATCTTTCTTTTTCAGGAACCATTAATTACCTGGAAGTCTAGATCTGGGGGTGCCCCCATCCATGTTGGAATGTCAACTAGTGTTGTCATTGTGCTAATCTTGTTTAGACCATCTTATTGTTGGCATTTCATGTGTCCAACTTCCATTAGCATGAAGTGGACTCAGCAGATTGTATTTATACATGCATATGTATATATGTATGTGTATATATATGTAACAACAGTAATAGAAAAACTCATGAATTTGACAGGGAGTGGGGTGCTTAGGGGAGGAGTTAGAGGAGGAGAAGGAGAGGGAGAAATTATGTGAGTATAGTTATTCATGTTTGAAATTCTCAAAAGATTAAAATTTTAAATGGAAAAAAAGATATATGGAAATCAAATTTCCAGGTAGAAATTCTTGACTCAAATAAAAAATAAATAAAGATCCAGGCATTTGAGTTTTTCAAATTAAGCTCCCCTGGGGTTGTGAATACTCAGACTGATTTCAGAACTACTGGGCAGCCACAGGTACTTGTCAGGGAGGTAACATCAGGCCAGGCTGCTCATTACACTGGTTCCTCAACTGGAAGCTGTGGCAGGTAGGCAGGACTTGACTCCCTGACCCAAATCCCTATATTCTCTGGAGAGCATCTCTCTGCAAACAGTGATCTAGTAGCCTTTAAACAGTTAGGGACTGTTTAAATATGTATGCATTCTGACAGAGCGGAAACCAGAACAGGTTGGGGCTTCTGGCCTGGCCTGCTGTGTGGCCACACCTCAAGCTACAGTAGCGGTGAATGAGGGTCTTAAAGATGTCCACATATCCCTCCCTGCCAAGCAGCATGATCTTCAGGAGAGTGGTGGCTTCTGCAGCCCTGAACCTGTAAGGACCAGGGACTCAAGCGGCCACCTTCCCCTGAAGGTTCCATGTGTTTTGCCTGCAGAAGGGCTCACATCACCATTTCTCAGCTCACCCAGAAAGATTCCAAGCTTTTGAAGGAAAGCTTGGGGCACCTGGAATAGCCCCACTGTTCCTAAAACTCCCATGAGTGTAAGCACATTATTGGAGGACCAGTTGTTACTGGCTGCTGCTCTTTGACAGGCCGTCCTTAGGTTGACTCCCAAGGAACAGGTGTTGAGTGAATGAGATCCACAGGAAAGAAGAAAGACACGAGAGAAAACAGAAACTGGCAACTGGTCAACAAATGGTGATCTAATTATCAGGCCACTATTGAGATTCCCGTGATGAGTAGATAGAAGGGAACAAGGACAAAAATACCCACAGTGGGAGTGGGCAGATCCTAAAGGGAACAAGAAAATACGTCCTTGTACAGAGGCTGGGAACGCATACATGTACTCAGATGCTTGCCATGTTTGCATGGCATTAGACCTATGGCTTGTAATTGCTGCTTTACTATCTTAGACCCCAATGAAGGCAAAATTAAGGACTGGGGAGAGCCCTTGGTCCAGAGTGAAGCCACGAGATCAGACACTCAGACATTAAGGCCTGCAGGTTCCATGGTCTAAGCAGAGTATGATTGGAGGGTGTATCCAAGGAGACCTTGCAGGCAAATATTGTCAGATTTCTGCAAAATTCCTGGTCAGTACCAAGGGTGATGTGGATGTGGTCATTTTAACCTCCACCCATTCTCTGAAGTTCTTTTAAAGGCAATTAATCAAGACCAAGGCAACCACATGGCAGGCGAAATGTGTCATGGCTGTGAGGAGGATTTGGGCTGAAATCCCAGAAGGGAGGTTGCACTGGGGAGAGAGAGCAATGGCAACCAAATGCCAAAGCACGTTGTCCCTGCTAACCCTTGACCGGCTCTCAATGGAGACCGTTAAGGCCCCACACATGACCTAGATAATTTTACTACAGACTCAGCCTACATGCTCAGGAATGCAAATAACAATGCCTGGGGGCTGGAGCTTTCTTAGTTTTATTTTTTTTCATCAAAGGTATTTTCAGCGATCAAATTTCAAATTCTGCCAGTATTAAAACATCAGAGAAATACACTACACCCTTTGGCTACTCCAAGACCGCCCCGGCAGACGTCTGGCAGACTCGCAGGTTGTGCGAGAGGAGCGAGCATCTGATGGTGGACTCACCCACCCCATGATTCCAGTGCCTGCCAAATCTGTGCCCTAGTACAGCTTAAGTTTTCTTTCCAGTCAGAGCATCATGTACAGACATGATGAATGTTGTCTATCACATAAAAATGCCACATAGGATATCCGTGTGAAAGTCATGGGAGAGCAGATGTATCTCAAAGAGAAGACAGGTGTTTATCACCAAGAAACATAACTCTAGCTATGTATGCCAGAGAACATTTCTTTCCCCATGCACTGTGATGCTCTATTTAAAATGGCTATCACTCCACAGGCTGAATAATAGCTAGTATTTGTCCCTTCACCTTTGATAGTTTGTCTTCCAAAGGATCTCCATGCCTCTCGCCTGTGCTCACACCCATGCCGCCTGTGAACACAACAGTCCATGGCAGCTTACCCATTGTTGTGTGGTGACTCTAGGGCAATCTTACAGCGATTATTGGGACTTTAATACAAAAGGATTAGCCTGCAGGCCGCTTTGCGAAGTGAAATAAGCCAGAATCAGAAAGACAAAATAGTTTTGATTTCTCTTGCATTTGTAGTCGAGAGCTAAACATATGTATAACCACACACATATATACATATACATATATATGCATACATACATACTTACAATATGAAATAGAAGTATAAGGTGGAAGAAGAGATATAAAGAGATGAACAAGAAGACAGGATAGTGAGGGAAGAAAGAGAATATGGTGTCTGCTTTATCTCATATGGAGAATACACATGTATGAGCATATATGCATATATTTCATATATATGTATATGTGTGTATGTATATACATATATATATGTATATATATATAGAAGGGACTATGGGGAGAAATGGGGCCCCCAGCAAGGTGGGATATGGGAGAAACCAGTGAAAATAAGATCAGGGTACAACAATATATAAGAAAATCTCATCACACACCCATCACTCGGTATAATAAGTAGTATAATAATAATATAGCATGAGGTAAACAAAAATTACAACAAAGTGGCTTTTAGAAGTGGAAACAGCAGCTGAACTGGCATAAGAAGACCTCAGACAGTTGCTGGGGTGAGCGGTAGCTAGGGAGTGTGTATGCGGGGGAGGGAACTTAGTCAAATCTTGTCTCACTCACACGTGAGCTGTTTGGTACTGGGCAAACAGTTGATCTCATTGAGTCTCAGTTTCTCTCAATGTGAACTGAGAAGACAAAGCCTTCCAGACACAGTGAGCATGCACTGAGCTCCTGACACATGCCCCAACACAGAGACAGCTTCATGTATGAACAGTGGGGATGTGTGTGATGTTAGGGTAGTGGAGTGAATGGTCAAATACCAGGAGACTTTGAATATAAGAGCTACTGAGAGGAATGGCGATGCATAGCCCAACATAAACGCTAGGTCTTCTCTGAGGGCTGAGACAATCACTAAGCTAGGTGATCATTCAAGAGCTGGCTTGCCCTGAGTTCTACAAATCCAGGGCCTGGGTCAGTCGAGAGTGAAGACCGAGAGCTCAAATTAGGAAGAATCGAGCTGAATTTCAGTTAACTTTGACACCTGCCATAGTGGGTAACAATGCCAGTGCCCATTTCCCTATCTACTTGCTTATCAAACTCTTGTGGGCTGAGTTCTCAGTCACTTAAATATTTCATGCCTTGATTGTTTAATTAAGTTCAGGTACGGTTGAGAGGACAAGAGCCTCATGTCATTATAATGATGAAAGTTTTTAACTCTAGCAGACTATTAAAAATGCAATTATGTTTTAACTGAAAGCCTTATAGAGTGTAGGAGGAATTTCCTGGGCAATGAAGTCATCAGTCAGTACCTGTGATAATGAAGGGATTGCTAAATGGACTGACAGCTTTGCCTTCAGGTCAATAGTTCACACAAAGTCAAAACCTAAGGGGTCTCTGTGGGGTTCAGTTGAACAAAGGCACTCACTTGCACCTGTGGTGTGTGTGTGTGTGTGTGTATGCTATGCATGCACTTGAGCACATATGTGTGCATGTTATTCTGAGAACAGTTGCATTTCCAATAGGAGATGGGAAAATCAGCTTTGCCAAAACACAAACAAAAGACACTGCCCCCGTTGTTCTGTTGACAGGAAAATCAAGCTTTGAGGCAGAAAATTAGCAGAAAACGGGACTCCCAGCTTGTGTGTTTTCTAAGAGACATTTCAAGTGTGGTCCCAACAGGGCAGAAGCAACTTCCTTGACGACAGTTGAACTCTGTAGTCCTCAGAGCACTCAGTGGCTGTCCTTAGCAAAACGGGGGCCAATGTGGCCTTTGAAAACGGTTCAATAGACCACGCCCCAAGGTGAAACAGCTGGTAGGATTATGAACATGAAATCTTATATGAGACTAACAATTTCTGTAAGCTGTTGTGGGTATGATTTTTAAGATTCTTTTACATGAAAAAAGAACACCATAGATGACTTCTTATCCTTGTTTGCCGCCCCTCTGCTCTCTCTTTCTCTCTTTGTGTGGATGCACACACGTGATGAGACGTGAGTGTGGCAGTCATAGGACAATGTGCAGGCGTCGGAGCTCTGTTTCTACTGCGTGTGTTCTGCGATCAAACTCATATCGTCAGGCTTGGTAGCAAGCATCTCAAGCATTGACCCATCTCACTAGCTCAACATCATCATTGTTGATTGCTGCTTGCCCAGGACCCTGTTAACCCAGGATGAGCCACCCAGTTCATGGCACAACCCTGTTGTTACCTCGTTTCATGAGCAATTGCTCAGAAGTCGGGGTCAGAACATGGGAAGTCAATCATTTCCTACTGGGGCAACTTCTCAGTGGCCACACTCCCAAGCTCTACTTGTACGCCTCCAAGTACAGCAGGTGTACAAATCATATATGAGTCTGTATGTGTGTGTGTGTGTCTATTAACTGTGTGTGTGTATGAGAGAGAGACAGACAGACAGAGAGACAGAGAGTCCAGAGTAGCTACCATTGACAAGAAGGCTTGCTCCTCTGTTCAGTCAAATGGAGTACCACAACAGCAGGCAATTGGAAATTAAGATGAAATCACGGAACCGATAGTAAAATGCAGAAGTCATGTAGTCAGGAGAGGCCCTCGCTCCCAGTGCTCCCAGTGAGAAAGACTCACTTGTGTCCAGACTCATGGGCAATGGTGAAAGCCAGTCCAAGTCCCGAGTCTTCATTGACGGTGCAGCTTCGGTACTTACTGCACATCCCGCTGATGGGTGCAAACCCTGCAGGACATGAAGAGAACGCACAGTAGGGTTGATGTGTAATGAGTGATTGTGTATTTATTTTTTAGTACTTGGTAAAGTTTGGTCCTCATCTTCATTTGGGGATATGTGAGATGGGCCGCCCCTGGACATCATGTAAATATGATGTGTTGATGGGAGAGAAGGGGGTGTTCTTATGTAGTCTCAGGAGCCCATGGACTCTGTCTTCTGGTAAATGGGCTCAGCTTCTGTTCAATATTCCTGGAAAAGACTAAAGTTGGCCCTAAATAGAAGAGAGGATTGAATGCAGATGAGGATGGTTTCTGCCTTTCCTAGAAATATCTGCTCGCTGAAGCCTCGAGGGGAAACACAGCAGAGCATGGGTGTGTTGTGAGGTCCCTAGGATCACACCCCATGGCTCAGTGATTCAGTTTTGCCATGAGAAGCACTTGCTGTGTATGATTCATGATTTAACACTGCAGAAAGACAAAGGGCAAAGAAGAAAGAACTCGAGGAAGACACGAGGAGAAACCATGCCGGGCTTCTGAGACTTCCCTTCCAGCAGTCACACAGGGCATGTTGATGTCCCTAGCAAGGAACTGTGACACCCATGAAGGACCATCTACCCAGAAACCCCACTAGTGTCTGGAGTGCTCCCTGGGAGCTGATAATGGAGGTGCTTGGTGCCTGACACATACATGAGAAGGCAAGCAGATGGGAAGCACAGGGGGTGAGCGGTGCACATCTGATGCGCCATGCTGACTAGGGTGGGTAAAATACACAGCTCCCAAGGCCGGCTGAGGGTCAGTTTCATAAGCAGGCTGTGGTGAGAAGCAGAGCTAACCCCTGCTAGACGAGGTCCTATTCGGAAACTTCTAAATAAAACTCTACCCTCTGAGCGTGGAGAAGAAGCAGAGTAAAAAGGTAATGGCCTGTAGAGTCCTGGTTATTAGCACACTCTTTGGCCACGTGGAAAAATGTCCAAATGCGGTCTCACTCTGTGAACATCTGGAACACGGCGAGAATGCCGATGCTCAGATCTTTACAGAGAAATGTGGAGATGGACATGCTGTACAGTATTTCTGGCATCTCCAGCTGGATCAACAAGTCCATTACTCTTGCACATCATGAGACGAGCTTGAGTCTCCTGGCTCCATTTGCAATGGCAGAAGAGATGGGAAAGGGCAGGTCTTACCTCAGAAAGGGTAGGAACTCTGGAATTTGAGATGGGCTTTTTCTTGTATCACAACAGTTGAGAGACAAAAGATGGCTAGTGTTTGAGGTGAAGGTAGCTACACCACCCTCCAATGTGACGCCCTGCCACAGCCCTCCAAGTGATACTGGAAAATCTTACCCAAGGTGTCACACGGTTCATTCTTCCAGGAACATATGTCCAGACCAGTCAGTAAGATGGCGTGGTCATGGCGAGTTCCTTCTTTCCCCATCAATCCAGATTGCCACTGGCAGAAGCTGCTTAAAGTGTGGTCTGCATGGTGACTAATCGCCAGCCCTGGCTAGGCAAGAGAGGCCAAGACACCCATAGAAATGTAAGGAAAATATGCTCAAGCCATTGTCAACAGAGCAGGATATCTTAATGGAGAGATATAAAGCATAGGATGGACCCAGAATGTACATAGAAGAGTTATATATGATGCATTACCATCCCAAAGACAGGGTATTCTACAAATCAGTATAGATTCAGAGAACACATTTATGTGCATTTCTATATGTAGTCAATTGAAATGTATCTTATTGACTCTTGGATTCGATGACCAATAAAGACAAAAGATGAGTATGAATCTTCTGCATAAAAATATCTTCAAATAATACCTTGAAAAGTTGTTGCTAGAATAAAGTCTTTTGTGTATGGCTTGTACAGTACACACACGCACACGCGCACACACACACACACACACACACACAACTTCACCAGTGGTAAATTCACAACCAAAGTGAACAACAGCATTTCCATCCCTGCTATAACAGTATGGAGCCAGAAAGTTTTCTACGCAGAAGCTACCTGTTTCCAGAAAAAGGCCAAGTCCTAAAGCTTTACTCCTGAAAAACAGACATCAAGGAGACAATATAGAATACCATTAAACTTTCCATGTGTACGGAGGGCTATGGGGCAGCAGTGAACTATGGGCCTGAAGTCTAGAATTAGAAGGGATGGAGGATGCAGGGCCAGGAGCACCATGACAACAGGCACACTGAGTCATCGAACCCGCTTGTAGGTTTGCTACCGAGTTGGAAGGGCGGTTAGAGAGTATCAGTTTGCAGCCCCCGTTTCAGAACACCACCTTGTAAAAACGCTTTAGCCACTACTGAAAAAGCTGTCTCTCCGTCACTGCCGACATTCGCCCCTTAGATGTTTATTTTGTCTTCTCGGAGTCGCACGCACCGAAGCGACCCGCGGCTCTTAAGTGCAGGAGCACGCCTGCATTCCTCAGCTGGCGACTTCCAGGAAGCTGTTGTTAATTAAAGCGAAACACAGGTGTACGATCAAACGATAACCTTGCTGCTGATTCTTTGAGGCTTGGACGAATTCCAAAGTGAAAGCGTTTTAATACAGGGAATAATTAACCTGTCACCTGAGAAGCCCGACTAGCTCGGCAGCCTCCCAGATGCACGCTCTCCGAACAGACAATGGCATTAGGCAGGCCAGACAGCCTGCCTGCTGTACCCCACCTGCGTGGATAAGGGGTGTCCCGCAGATGTTCTGAATCACCCGATTCCATCTGACAAGTTCTTTGCTGTATAAACAAGAATGCTGTGGCTACCATGAGACACTGAAGACGTCATCAAAGGAGGGGGCAGTGAATGCTGGGTGTCTGTTTAGCTCAGACCCTGAGCTCCCACGCTTTGCTGAGTCAGTAATCAGCATGGGAGGAACAGAAGGGAACCTAGTTTTAGTGAAGACTTCCATGCCACTAATGCTGTGAGGGGCTCCTTGGGTTCACAGCATGCAGCTGTGACGGGGGACAGGAGGCTTTGGATTGGAGGAGAGGGCCTTCTATCCCCCATTGCCACCTAGACATTAACTGAGATCAGCATGCAGTAAGGAAAATGTGTTCTATCTTTCAGGGTCACCAAGAAAAAGTTACAGTCTAAGTTTGAGAACTGTGGGGGTTTGGGAAGCAGGAGCTGGCAGGGTAAAGCAACACAGTCTGTCAGGGCACAGCACAGTTCACTATCCATGGTGTGGGCATGGTTCATCTTTCAGTAAAGCATAAACAGGAAGGCCAAAGACGCATTTGTCTTCAAACTAATAGTGTGTCCTTCCTACAGTCTCATAACAAATGCGTTTGCTCTTTTATTTTCCCATGAGACCACATATAACATAAACACACCATACAATACACATAGGCACACACACATACTTACAAATATATGACACACACTCCCAAACACCACACATACTCATACAGACATATACACACAGGTACACATACACACACACACATATCCCACATATTCATACACACACATACATACACCATACACAAAGAACCTCACCACCATATGCAAACATACACAAACACACAATACACACACATATGACCCCACCATCTTCTTCACACATGCACAGACATACAACACACACATAGATACACACACATAGATGCACACTCACACACACATGCACATACATATACCACACACACATGTACATGCACCATTAGGAAGAACTGAAAAACAAATGAGTCATTTTAAATGTAGAGTATGAAATCCTTCTTTTCCCAAGTAAAAGGGAAATAAAGATATATTACACAGAGCAATTGCATTTTTTGAAAAAGCATTTCCCACTCATTTTCCTGCAGGGCAGGCACGCGACATGGCTGCTTTTGAAGCTGGAGTACCTGCTCATCTTCCAGCAGAATGAGCCCCACAATGGCGATGTTGATGTTTCCCCCAATTGTTCCATCCTTGAATAAAGCAGACACCTGAAACAGAAGATCGGCATCAGCCCTGAGCATGTCATAGCCTAGCCATGGCCCGACTTCCTGCCTGTCAGAGCAAACCCTTGTTGTTTCGGTGCTTAGCTAAGTGAGCATAGCATCCTGACATTTCTCAGACAGTCTAGATATGTGGGAAGGCTGGTGATGGAGCCCATTCTGAGGGAGCCTGGATCGAAAGCCGAAGTTTGAGGAGGCAGAGGAGGTTCATCTGTTACCCAACATGAAGGAGAGACAGCTTTCAAAACTCTTCCTCCTCCTCCTCCTCACCATCATCCCCATCATCATCACCATTACTATGGCAACAGTCTTGCTGCATAGGCTGGCTGGCCTTTGATTCTCACTCCCTTGCTCTCAGCTTCCTTCCTGAACACTCGGGTTATGTGGATTACCCACATGTGTCACTGTGTCTTGCTAGAAGGGTTATTCCACTCTTAGTGGTGACAACAAACGCCAAGAACTTCTGGAATCACAAGAGGAATACTTAAGACAAGTCCAAGACGATGCAGTGGCGAGGAGGGAGCAGGACTCAGGAGGATGAGTGGAAGTGGGGACACAGGGGGTGACAGCACACAGAGAACAAACAAAGTCCTGGAGTGGATTCAGGATGGAGAGTAGGGCACTGTGGTAACAACAAAGTTCTAGAGGGCATTCAGGATGGGGAGCAGGGCCCTGTGGTAATCATGGAGGCTGCAGACTATCATTGGGAGATCTAGATTGAATGACTTCTACAGAATACAGACAAATGACAGCTGACACAGATCAGGGATGCAGGGCCCTGAGATTCTTCTATACACAGTTCAGCCTCAGAGCCAGGTGATCACTGAGGTGATCAGGCCATGTGAATTTCTGTGATGAGAGAGATATGCAATAAGTTTCTTTGTGGGGAGGGAGAAAATTGAGGTTATTGTGTAAAGTTTTGAGGTTATTGTGTAAAGTTAGACGTGATTGGAGTACTCTGGGGAGACACAGACCTGTGTGGGGTTTCATGGATTTAGGAGGTCAAACACTGCCATTAACTTTTTCTGACAAGTGGGCAGCCCCGTTTTTCTCTCTGTGGTGTGGGCTTCGCTCGCAGTTACCAGGCACAGAGCCCCCCTCCTGACTCCTCCCACAGGTGCCTTTCAAGACAAAGACATGTTTCATCTGGGAAGATATTCCAAAATAGGAGTTTCTCAGTGCCTGCAGATAAAATATTTCATATCAATACCTGAGCATTAACCTTCTTAAAGTGGTAGGCGTTATCTGAACCTAAAATTGCATGTCAATCTGACACAGCTTTGTTGCCTCAAAAGGTGTCAATGTCCTGGCAAGACCTTTAGTATATGAAGGCATCAGTGAATTAAGTGCCCCAGAAACAAACCAAGTTGCCAAGATGATCAAGTGAGTGTTCCCCTATTTAATTCCCCAAAGTTCTGAGATTTCACCTTTTGATTCGAAATTAGTAAAATAAGAGTTTCTTATACCAAGACACAGGTTTACAAGTAAGAAATGAACCTTGCATTGGTGCGCACACACAGAGACAGGCATACAAACACACACACATACACATAATGTACAAAAGGACACACACAGGCACATACACAAATGCAGACACATACAGAAATACACATGCACGTGCACACGCACACGCACACATTCCCATGGCTTCAGAAAGGCCAGGCCTACCATGTTGAGTACAGTGAGGACGTAGGTGGTAATATTGCCATGGCCATGGTTCTCCATCATTTTTCTGTCAACCACCACCAGGGTCTCCACATTCAGCTCTTCATTTCTGTGCGATTTCAGGAGGGAGCGCTTTTGTCGGGAGCTAGGCTTGTACTCATCGGGCAAGATGTAGAGGTCATCCTTGGGAGGCTGGGGCATGTCTGTGGAGGAGCATGTAGAGAGAAAACTACAGCAAACACACAAAGCCAGAGGCACAATTGATCCTATAGAAACGTCTGAAAAATGAATGCTCACGCTGACCAAGATGATTCCAAGTTTAAGGAAGACCTAGGCAACGTAAAGAATCTGAAACACAGCAATAGGGTTCTTCTAATAGAAGAACCCAGAACTGCCCAACCTTTGTAACCCAAGACGTGTTAAAGTCACCTTCTAAATTTAAATGAAGTTCATATAATCTTGGTGTTTTGGAAATCATTGCCAGAACTAACTTCACGTTGTTTCTGTTCGGATTTAAAATAAGAGCTGAACCCTAGTATCTAAAGTGAGCATGTCCTAGGACCGAGGACATGAGGGCATAGGGATTTACAGAGCAGGGCTTCTCCACACCGTGACGGTCTGAGCAGCGAGTGGTTTTCCTTCTTCTCACCGTTGATGCTGGTGTCTGGATACAACTAACTTTCCAATCTCCTTCCCTGTCAATCACACACGGTCGGTGGCAACTGCACTCAGTGGGTGCTGATGAGTCTAACAAATGCTGGGTGTGCTTAGCAGACTTAATTACAGAGCAAACTTCATTCTGCCCTTGTGGAGGGATTCCTGTAGCATGCTTTTATAATTATAATAATTAACACTATATTAAAAACAGTTAACTTTAGGAGATGGCTAAGCCAACACAGAATCCTTTCATGGGAAGGTATACTTTGGTTCCCCATCCTGGTGATTTGAACTTCCACCTAATACAAGTCTGCCCTTGGAGGCTGCTATGGACAGACATGACTCTGCCTGATTGGTGCTCACAGCCAATGGATTTTAAATCTTTTTGTTGGTTGGTTAGTTGGAAATACAGATTGAGCATCCTGAATTAAAAACTCTGAATCCAGAAGTGACCCAATATCTGAAACTATTGAAACATGAAGCCACAAGTAGAAATTCTACACCATGTCTTTGTGTCGAGTCACACCCAAAACCCATGTGCACTAAGAACATTCTTTAGAATTACCCCCAGAGTACATGTTAAGGTATATAGGCAATACTAAAGCCTCTGTTCAGTGTTGGAATCCATCCCCAAGGTTGTTCATTATGTGTACACACAAGTGTTGTACAAATCAAAATATGATGAAGGGCTGGAGAGATGGCTCAGCGGTTAAGAGCGCTGGCTGTTCTTCCAGAGGTCTTGAGTTCAATTCCCAGCAACCACTTGGTAGCTCACAACCATCTTAATGAGATCTGGTGCCGGCTTCTTCTTCTGACCTACAGGCGGACATGCAAACAGAACACTGCATACATAATAAATAAATAGATAGATAAATAAATAAACAAAATATGATGAAGTATGTAAAATTTCCCATCAAAAATATTCCATCTGTGAGAAACTCAGCCTGTATCTCAATAAGCCCTAGCTAAGGGTGATGGACCCTTTGTGACCACTGTAACTTGTACATGCATGGACACCCTTGTAGGTGTTGTCCTGGGTCACTCAGTGTCTACATCAGCTACTGTATGGGATGCTGTGGGACCACAGAGGAGAGGGAGAAAATACAGCCAACTCCTGGTTCTTCTCTAGAAAGTGTTTGAAAAGGATTTCAGTTATGTGTGGTGTGATCTTAGATCCTTTGGTCTTAACCTCAAGTGGTGGGAAACTGTGTACAACACAGAGCCAGGACACATCAGAGGGTGAAATAACCATATTCCAGTGCTGGCTACAGGGACAGAAGGTCCATGAGGCTGTGTCTCCCTGGTCGGAGCTCTTAGAGGTCCCTGAGAGCAAGCACTGTCTGTCTCAGGTCAGTGCTTTCTGAACATCCTGGGAACATGTGAGTCTAGCTAACTCCACATCAGTGGATGCCCACAGCTGAGAGAACATGTGAGATTCCCATCACCAACCATACTTCTAGCCTCAGCATCACTTTAACCAATCAACTGCACTGGTCACCTGTTTCCAGACAGATCCCTCAGGGAGTACAGAGAACACACGCATTCCTTTCAAAGCAGGAGTTCTAATGGGGACAGTTTTTCTAAGAGTGCGATCCACTGAGAAGATCACAATCTACCCCACAAGAAGTCAAGCAGACCAAAGAGGAATCCCCCTGAACTTGATTCCCTCTGAGATTGTCCACAGATCTTGGATTTTGTTCATGGGACAAAATGGGTCCAGACACTGCATGGGCTCTGATACCTCGGGGACACCTGCTCCTTCAATGAACACCAGTGGCTTCATCCATCTTCTTTCTTCCAGGATCCACAGAACACCTGCCAGGTTTCTCTTCCACTTCAGAAAGGCAGATAAAGCCACGCTGAGAGCCAGCGAAGTTGGAGGCCAAGGAAGGCCTCCTTTGTCCTCCCTGGGAAGGGCCCATCAGCTGAGGCCTGAAGGCTAAGGCAAAGAGGAGACTCTGGAGAGTTGTGGGTTCCTGGATCATGAGACTGGATAATGTGCCAACAACGGTTCTCTCTGAGGAATCAGGACAATGCACCGCTCATAAAGGCTTGCTGACAACTTGCAGGTAAGTTCTGCTCCCACTCACCTCTTTGATGTGGCAGTGCAAAGCTCCATGGATGCCTGCAAAGAAGTTACCTCAGCGGGAAAACTATGTGAGCTTCAATATCTTTAAGCCTCAAGGATAGGGTTACTGAGGGGGATGCCTGGGCTCTCGTTTCTTCTAAGATGTTCTGAGGAGTGTCTTTTTTAAAATGCTCACTATTCAAAAGAATGAAATCATCTTCCACATTCATCCATCACTCGTGAGACACATAATACCATCCCTAGCATCACCCTTGATGGCAGCAGTGACAGTCAGTACATTTCACCTTGAGGGGAGACACGCTTTTCACAAATTAAAAGCATTCCATTACCTGACATGATTACCCAAGCCATTCAATGCACAAAATCGCCCTTACGTACATTTCTTGCGTCTACCACAGAAATGCTGCTTTTGTGGGAGGCCGAGATGGAAGTTGCCATGGTGAAGGGGAGATCTTGCCAGATCTCGCTGCCTGGTGACCAGCAGGACTTCGGTTTCTCTGAGCGCCTGGGGCTCCGTGGATCTTTTGTACAGGACGTGGGAGGGAGAGCCAGCCCGTGCAGACCCACTGGGCTTGCCTGTCAGGTGTGGAGGAAGCGGCTTTAAGAAGTAATCGGCATCCTTTGTTCTTATCATGCCTAACTGGAAGAAGGGAGGGGGAAGAGAAAACACACCGCCGTTAAAAAAGGTGCTAGTGTTCCCTACTGGATGTGATGTCTTTCTCCCACATGGCTGCCCCACCGATGGAAGCTTGTGTAAGAAGGGCTCAGTAGTCTGGGCTGATAAGGGAGGGAAGGAAGGTCACGGCATCTATCTGAGCTCTCCTCATCTGCACCTTCTCAGAGAGCTTGGTGTGCAGAATGGTCTGCCACCTGATTTGTAGATGCGCAGGAGTGGGGCGGCTCAAAGTGCACCAAAGACAGTGAATTTGAGCCACAATGACTTGACCTTTGAGAAAACGTGCACAGGGTTAGATATTGATATTGACATGTAGTCTCAGCAGTGAGAGGAAACTAAAATGCTAATAATTTCCAAGTCTATTCAAATGAACTTCAAATTTTTAATAACATTTGGAATTTAATAACATTCCACAAAATATGTTAATAGAATTAATGCAGAATAAAACATAAAGATGTCACTTTGAGCACAGAAAGACCTTTCTAGACAAGGTATTTTAGGAAATGGGTGATAAATAATTTTTATATAAAAAAGTAAAATGCCAATATAGCAAAACTGAATAAGAGAAATAACATTTAAAATATGTTGAGGAGACAAATTAAGAGACCGTATTTTCAGTCTTTTAGAATGGCAAATAAAGTTTGATAACACATCGTTCCTGAGAATGAGGACAATTGAAAGTAGGAACCTAGGCCACACTCAGCAGGCATGCTCCATGGCTGTCCAACATGTCAAGATAACCTAGGCCACACTCAGTAGGCAAGCTCCATGGCTGTCCAACATGTTAAGATTATAAACTCTCCACTCAACCCTGGGACTTAGGCTTTAACAATTCCTGATGAATATTTCCTGTAAGCATGATTTTGTATTGGAAAACACAGCATGTTAAAAAGCGAGCTACCACAATCAAGTGGGGAACGGCAGAGATACAAGGATGGCTCAATACACACCAGCCACTAATGCAGTGTCAGGAAACAACGGCCCAAAGCGTGTGATCGTCACCACAGATTCAGTTTCCTTCATGATGAATCCCTGAATGAGGCAGGCATTGAAGGAATGAACTTTGGCATTGTAAAGACCACACACAAATGCAGACGTAACATCAGTATCCTAACTGCAGAAATGATAACTGTGTGTACGCTGTGACCTGGAGCAAGGCAGGGATGCCGTTTCATTACTCTTATTCAACAAGCTATTGGCAATCTTAGCCAGAGCCATGAAGCAAGAGAAAGAAATAAAAAGCATCTAACTAGGAAAGGAGAGAGTCACCTTGCTACATGTATAGGTGACAGTGGTCTCAGCCCCCCCCCCCCTTTGCCTATTTGTCTGCACTGTCAAAAGAGGGACACAGAAAACTGCCAGAGTCCATCAGAAATATTTGAAGTTCGCAAAGTTAACACAGGAAGAGTTCGCAAAAAAACCAGGAAGAGTGAGGAAATGGTCTGAGAAATCAGGAAAGCATTTGCACAAAAGGTACAAAGAAGAAAGAAAGACCCGTAGACTCCACAAGGAGAGTCACCACACACGGATGGAGGACCGAGGAGGACACAGAGGAAAGAAGGATTCTTCATGACTGCTGAAGGACATTCCAAACTCCTTCTAACTTGCTTTTGTATGCGGGAACTTTGCATTGTGATTGTGCTGTTGTGACTGGAGCCTATTTTGATGATTCAGTGCATGCTGGATGAGGCAGACACAGGGCTAAGCTTATGATTTCAGGAGCTTGCGACCCATTCTCACAGGGAGGTAGGGAACAGGTGTCTCTCTCTAACACTGATGCACCAGATGAAACCCTGAACTCCCAGGGTTATCCTCGTGAGTTTGCGGTTTCACACAGGCTGCGTTGACAAACATGGAGAAACATTTTCTAGAATCGGGAAACAGCCAGTTTCAATTGCAGGGAACAATGTTGTGGAGTGGGAGGTCTAAGAGTCCAGGCTTCTCACACCAGGAAAGTTAAGCATTAGCCACATAGCTCCTGTTGGAGATGCAGAAGGGACAAAAGAAAACTTGGTTAAATTATCAGGGCAGCAATCAGGACCATGGGGGGTTGGCCTCCTGGGACCCAGATGCCACCCAGGTCTGGGAAGTGGCAGTACTTGAAATGTCTAATCTGAACCAGGCAGAGCAAGAGCAGGCTACCACCCATGAGCAGCAACTTTGGCCTTATGGAACTTTCAGCTGAAAGAGGGTTGTTACTTTGTAGCTCTACCTGGGAACAGCCAGGATTGGCATTCCATAGCAGCCCTGGCCAGCAGCCGAGTTTCATTCTTTTGATATTTCAGTGGACCCCAAAGTAGCATAAACAATCAAGATGGTGTTCAGCTTTGTGTGCTACTCAGAGTGCCTTTCCACATTGTTGAAGACAACCAGTTTAATTAATAAATAAATATTAAATTTAAAGATAAACCATGGTCGACTTACTCTTATAAATTTCTCATTTGTGGACAATCCTTGATTTCCAAACCAACTCTCAGGAAAAGAACAGACCCTCATATCACTAAGGCCCAACACAGATGTTTCCCTGCCTCTCTAGAAAGCCCAGGTGGATGTAACATAGACCCCCTCCCCCAGCTTTTATCTTGCGGTTCTAACATGTATTTGCTGTTTGACTTTGGATGATTTGTTCAGCCTCTCCTGGTAAGTTGTCATCTGGTAAGGAGACAAGAAGATGGCTGAGTCAAAGAAAGAGCAAAATGTGGCATTCTTCCTTCCAGATGACCTCTGATCCTCTTCCAGTCCTTCTGAAGCCCTGAAGGACATTGGTGGTGTGGATGCAGATGGTGCTGAGACAGTCAAACGTGACACTTCTTTGTGATGGGCTTGTTCCAGATTCCTGTGTGATGTCATTGTGATCTATGATGGCTGTCTAGGTTAGTGTCATCTTCAGCTTCTCAGGTTCAGGCTGTCCTCTGGTAGCTCAGATAATGGACTTCACATTCAGGTAATAAGGTCCCAAGACAGCGAGAGGAATTTGTGCGGTTTTTTTAACTAACAAAGTATTCAAGCATTGCATGTGTTTAATTAATAGTGTAATTGGTTATGATATCTTATATTTAAATAAGTTTCAATGTCACTAACCATATAGCACAGTAACTGATAAAAATGATATTCGGGTGACTGTTGAAAAGCAATGGATGATGAAATGCTTTAAAAAGTTATTCTATTACCCGGTTTTGACAGCTAATTCAAGAGAATAGGTAAACGGCGGAAGAAGGGTGCTTTCTGCCTATGAAACTGTTTCTTTACTGAACCGAGAGGATTAATTTAGAGACTCATGAAGTATCTATAGTGCCTGCCCTGCTACACCTCCTCCCAGTGCTGTCGGAGGGTGGATTATTAACCAGGCTTCAGCTGAAGTTGGTTCCTCCTAAGCTTGTACAGGAGCCCTCCCAGGGCCTGCGTCTCACAGTCGGTCAGTCCTGTCAATCAATGTCACTGGAAACTGAGTAGTCTTCCGTTGTCCCCATAAGGGAGGGAAGGACACAGGTATGTTAACCCTGAAGCCTACTGCTTCTCAGCAAGTGTCAAAACAGAACCTCTCCCTTCTGGTAGCTGCTATGCACAATCACACATAAGTTGGTTGATTTTTATGACCTGTGCACTTGGTCACCACATCCATAGATATGGGTCCATAAAGTATCTAGCCATGTGAGTTAAATGAATCAAACACACATAGACATGGTATGAAGATGGCTGTATGTCTCATCCATGAAGCATCTCTCCTGCAGGTTGATAGAATCCCACCCATCAGGCACTGCATGGAAGGCGCTCAGATGATAACATGTGCCCTTTCAGGAGAGCGAGCTGTCTACCCACAGGCACAGTGATAAAAGGATTGTGTCAGTATGAACATGGATGTTTAACTCCTAAATGATACTCTTTGAACATGCCTCCTGTTCTCACATGCGTGTACTGAGGTACAATATCATGCTCATTCCAGGAGTCCTTAGTGATGCTCCCGAAATGCTACGATAGTCTCAGCACCCAACAAGTGTTTATCAAAGCCCATCAGCTCATTACCTTCCTCGTAGCTTCAGGATCGAAATGAACCTGGCCCACAACCAGCACCTGTCGCGCCATGTTTGCCACAAACCACAGTCAGTTTTGCTCCAAGATGACATGTGATGGTTTGAAAGTAAAAATTCATCCAAAGCCTTTGTAAAAACTCAAGAAGCCCAAGTGCTTGCCCGCCCAAGGCCTCTAGGGTTGGGTTCTTTTTCTCTTACTGTCACACCTGTCTAAGGCTCTGGACTTTTTTGTGCTGCTGCCTCAGATAAGGGGCTGGTGTGCAGCTGACAGGGACCGCGGTCATCCTAAACCCAAACAAACCTGGGCTTCAGCGTTTCTGTGATCTAGTCAGGTCGATACTCGGTTCCTGGACGCTTTCCAATTGCTTGTCTGTCAACTTGAAACACTAATATTTTGACACTTGACACCTTAACAAGGTTTCTAGTTCAAGCTTTAATCTTGTTGGTGACAGTGTGACTCATGTCACCAGCAGGCACTGGAGAGGACTCAGCCCTAGGTTCCCCACACACTTGAGTTACCGCTGTGCTGACACCAGATCACAGCTCGGCACTGGAACACTGACTGCTGGGACGTGGGAAGGAGAAAGGGAGAAAAAACCGTAGGAAGGGAGCCAGATGGCTGGGATTCATCTGCAGACAACTTGGCAATACACACAGAGGCTTGCAAGTGACACGTGTGGCTCCTGGTAGTGTTCTGGCTAAAGAGCAAGGCCGGAGTGACGTATTAAGTGAGGTCTTCTCTTTCAGTTCTTGCTCTCCGAGGAGAGCTCGGATCAGAACATGACAGCATAGCATTTCCCCCTCAGCAGAAGTTTCTCCAAGGAAGTATGTGGTATGAGCAGGGCTTGGCCATGGGGTCAGTTTATCGACCACGTGCACAGTTCTGGGCGCTGGACGACAACTGCTTGAAGTGGGTGACAACCGGAGACGTGA